TTAAATCAAATAGGGATGGTATTGACAATTTAGATGATATGGATGATAGTACAGAAGTTCCAACTGTTAGTATTAATATAGCATTAAAAAGTTTGAAAAATATGATGCAACAAGCTATAATAAAATTTGCATTTTAATTGTTTTAATTATATTTTTTTAATATTTATATTATATAAAATTTATAAAATTTTCAAAAAAAAATTTTTTTTTATAAATGCACACTCTCTATAAATACACGTTTATGTTCAGTCCCAAGGGGATGCATTTATAGAGAGTTGACTGTAATTGCAAAATTAATTATAGGGGTGGTAATTAATTACTAGTGACTTAATTAATTATGAGGGATATAAATATTTTAAAATATATAAGTGTATAAAAAGAATTCTATAGCATTATTAATGTTATTTTTAGCTTTAATTTAAGTCTCAATTCACTTTGTGTAATCTTTATGCATAAAGATAATAATTTTCTTTTATGGTATTCATCATGTAATATATGATTAATATTGATATATACATTAAATTAAATTTATTTAAAATTGGAATACTCTCCCCTATTTTACAAAACCAAAATTTTCATAGAAAAAATAAAAAATTTAAAAGTTTGTTTTTAACAAAAATTAATTAATAAACCCAGTATAAAGAAGGTTTTTTTTTGTTTTATCCCACCTTCTTCATTACACGAGAGAGTTATAATGTGTAAAAGCACTGCAAAATAAAAAATAGTAATCCCAAGTTCATTCCATACGTAACTCCTAAAACTCCAAAGAAAGCTGCTAGTTCTTTACCAGCTCCTTTGTCTTCTTCAACCTCAACTTCTGTTCCTATCAACCTTAATTTAGAAATTGTTCAAGAGGTTTTTGACTCACTACTAAATAAAAAAATGGATTTTGAAGTTTTTGACATATTTAAAATTATTACTATTAACAAAATTTCAGCTATTATTCTGCTTTAGAATAATAACAGCAATAATAACATGAAAGTAAATAATTTCTCTGAAAATTTTTCTTCTTCTAAAGATAAGTTAAAACTCTTGAATCCTAACGAATATCTTGAAGATGATGATATGGAAGAGGATTTAAAAGATTTTACTGTTGTTACTAAAGCTATTCCTTTTGCAGTTGTTAGTAATATCAAGTTTACCTCAAAAAAAAAAAAAATAACAGCAAAATTATTCTAGCTATCAACAATATTTTTGCTCAAAATGATGACTTTAGAGTAGTATCAGTACGTTACATAAATTTGACGCGTTCTGTGATTGTCTATTTTGCAATGTTAGACGCAGCTGCCACAGCTCTTCATATAACCATTCCTGATCTCAAGATCGAAAATTTCTGTGATTTCATTTAATACTGTTATACGAGTCGATTACGAAGTCTACCGACTGAAAAATAGACTTCAACATGTATAGCAAGGTTTTAGGTATCTGAAAGATAATAATTTGATTTAATAACTTTAAGAACTTGTTCGCATTAATAAAACTATTGAATTAACAATATATCAATTTATAAGTACAGGTAATGTTGAGTATAAATTGGGAATATTTCAAATACGATGGAAGAGCAATAATGATGGATTAGGTTTTAGGTCACGAGTTTAACAGATCAATGTTATAAGGATAATGTATGGTTTATAAATAAAATATAAGTGGATTAACACGATTCAATAAACTAAATAAGCTCTTGTTGGCGAACTTATCAATTTATGAATTT